TTTAAATCTGTTTTTATCCGGGTACGATATTTGTTTTTCGGAGAGGTAGGATCTTTCTTATTGGTTATTCTCATTCTTTGTATTCAGTTGTTAAAGTTCAGGATAACAATACAAAATAGAGCTCCTAAAATGCTCGTAATCCGTTTTATATTAAAAGAGACATCGTTTTTGATTGTCATCAAAAAACGCTAACTGAAGGCTGAATATTTCCGTCCCTTTCTAACAATCAAATGCACGTTTAGCTTATATGACCGTTCAACGATTTCGATGTCCAATAGAGGCAAGTCTTCTGTAACCCGGCCGTAAACCCGATCCTATTGTCTAAGAGGAAAAATAGGTATGTTTTTACTCCACACAAATACATGAGCGTGATATGAGATTAGAGTGCATTGAACCAAAAATTACAATAGGATCCCGGCTTGCTCCTTCCCGTCTTTTATCGAATACTGTAATGGGGGATGTATACGAATGAATCAAACTTGACTTCCATGTCAAATCTGCTTAATGATTCTCTTTTCATCTGCATATATATTGAAGAGATCAACTGACTGAGGCAAGCTACATGTAACCACTGATTCAAGACTTTAATTTTCTTTCTCTTATTTTTCAATCTGAAATTATTAATACCAACCACGAAATGTCTCCAAAGATATTCCATAAAGCTAGATGAAAGGTAAAAAGTATACAGTTAAATATTATTATGTATTATTTAAGGTGAAAAAAAGGAATACAGGAAATATCAAACAATAGTCAAAGTCAAAAGCACAAATATTAGCTGGGGCGGAGCAAACACGAACCTTCAAAAACATCAGAAATGAGATCAGGTGTCATGGAGGAATTACCATCCCTATTCAACCGGGGAGTAAAACACAACGAGTGGGATAAAATCATATCGAACTACAAATCATGGGGATTCTTTTTATATCATGTTTTGAAAAATCTATTTTTTGGAATGCATAAAACACAAAGGATTCCTTGAGGTGAAAACAAAAACAAAACAAAAAAAAATTTCACTCGGGCCATTTTTAGCCAGTCGGAAGGGAGACGACAGCCAAACAGTTTTTAAAGATTTTTTGGCAATTATTTTTGAAGGATATGGAGATAACGAACAGTATTCAAAATCAAAGTCCATAAAACAATACAAAATAGGAGCAGAGCAAACACGGACCTCCAAAACATCAGAGGTGGGATCGAGTGCCATGGAGGAGTAAGCATCCACTGCCGACCGGTCACACCCGCCGTGTGCTCCTTGTCATGATCAGGAAATAACGGAAAAATCCATCGTCAATTCAGTGTATAAAGAATTGACTAACAATAAGTATGAAAAAGGTCAGCCAGCATTTGACTCAATAAATTGTATTTGCTGACAAGGTCATGGTATCGACCATAGAACTTAAAAAATGATGACTTTAAACGCGACTGGTGATAGTCTTGTTTTATCAACTTGTTTTTCAAATAATACTTAGAACATGTTCTAGCGTATCGAATCAACAGAGATATGTAAACGCCGTATGCAGGTGATGAAGGTATATTGCTGCATAGGTAAGGGAAGATGACAATAGAAAAGTTGAAGTCATCACGTTCATCTTAGAGCTTGGTTGTTAGATTACCATTAGTGTCTTTTTCAAAGAGAATATCCAAGTATGAAGCAGATGTGTCAGACTGTGGTATCTTTTATCTCAAGCTCACCAGGATATATCGTATCGACATAGGAATGGAAATTAGCATTGGTAATTGACAATACGTCGTCGATTTATCTAAATGTCGAGTTGAAGGCCACAGCAACTGTTTTCTTCTTCTCACGCATAAGATTTTGCATAAATTCTGCTTCATATGAATTATAAGTCTGCTAATGACGGAGTGCAATTGGTACCCATGGGAATTCAAATAGATTGTTGGAAGACCTTGTCTCCAAAAACCACATAGATATTGTCAATCAGAAACTCAAGTACATGTATCTTTTTAATGTCAACTTCAGAGTACTTGTCTGTGCAATCAGAATGTGTTTAACAAAATAATTTTGCGAATGACCAATGACGAGGTAAGTAAATTTATGAGTTCCATTTTTATTGAAAAAGCAGCTGTCAATGATATCAAAAAGCCTGGACTTCAATTTATCGTGGGGAATGGTTGTGTATAAAGTTGAAATGTCCTAAGTTTTTAAGCTGTTGACTTTGGTAAAATCTTATGATTTCAAATTATCCAACAGTTCTTTGGAATTTTTGAGTATCCACATTTGATTCACACCACTTCTTAAATATATTGTTGTACAGTACGCTTGAAGGTTTTCCTTCACTACTGTTAATATCTTAGTGAGAGTAAAGGAAGAGGCTTGGCTGAACATTTACTGGAACTCGCAATGTATCTTTGTTTGTAAGGATTCTTATGAAGTTTCGGAATCCAATATATATATTGTAGTTCAAATTCATTTTGGTTCTTCGAGATATTAAAAATATTTAAAACTGACATATGATTTTGAAGAATTTCTTCTTTAGAAAGGGAACTATGAGTATAAGTTGGATTACCACTTGTAGAATTAAATCCAAGTTCTTTTAAAATACAATTTATATAATGAACAGTTATATCTAAAGGGCTTTTGAATTTCAAAAGTACATACATATCACTTGTGACAAGGCCATCTTTGAATATCAACAATTTTGCCTTTACCCTTGACCTTGGAGTTAAGCTTACTAAAAACGTTCATTTGGTCATAAATTGCTAGAGATTTCATATTTCACAGGGGTATTCATTGTGACAAAACTTTCCTCTTTGGTACCAACAATTCTGTCCCTGTGATCTTGGAGTTTGACCTCCTTTTAAAGAACTTTGATTTTGGCTATCACTATGTGTGCTTCTTTGAATCTTCCTTGACCAATATCTTAATGAAAATCTAAAGATACCAAACTCTTATTGAGTGTATGTCTCACAATACTGGTAATTATACTTCATAAGAAATCTTTCTTTGTCACATAGCCTGAGCACACAAATCGTATCCCTAAATGGGGATATATTTAGGTATAACTTTTAAGGAGAATTGCTGGTTCACCCTCAAACTTGTGTATGGGAGCTTTTGTAGTGTGCTCTGTCTTATGTTAGGAAAAAAGACCTGGTTCAATGAACACAGTGAGTAAATTTTATCAAGCAGGTGGAACTCAAATGAAAAATCGGCATGTTGTTCTCTTGTCAACTGCAGATAAGACACCCAATATTCTCGTAAATATTTACCGTTCTAGACATACTAACGGGTCTATTCTGACTGGTGAGATCAGAGCGTCGTTGTCGGAAAATCCTTGACTCTGTATCATGTTTAAAATCCGATCACGCGGAAAACCGATTTGGTCAATGAGGTTATATAGTAACTGACAAATACCATCCATCATTGAATGTCAACAGCTGACTATGCCTGTACACATGTTTTCCGTGCATCTTTCCAGGAAAGTTGCATAAAAAAGGAAAGTTTGATATTTTAAGATTTTTATACGATCAAGATTGCGGTTTTGGTTTTAAAAATTTGAAATGATATATCAAGTTTTTTCGTGTTTCGGTTAGTTGGACTTTCCTTTTCCAGTCATATAAAATCGTGGTTATTTGTATTTTCATTGTAAATTCAATGGTTTCTCTATTTATGTGACAAATAGACAGAAAATTCTCCAAAAAATAACTCTCAGTACAAATAATTTAGTTTAACTCCTTAATATGTCAGCCAGATCGTTATATATGAAAAATCATTGTCGATCTAAAATTTCATGCCTGAAAGTAAAATCAAGATAATACCGTATAAGTAGAATTTTTAGCGAGGATTTAATTTTGGCATTATAAGCGAGGGTGCCGAGATCGCTAAAATTGAATATCGCTAAAAAATTAATTGCGTTTTATTTGTTATAGCTCCTTGAATGTGCATTTTAAAATCGCAAAAATACTATCTCGCTAAAATTAAATTACCAGTTTTTAAGGACAAATCTCTAAATTTGCGTCTCGCTAAAATTTCCACTTATACGGTATGTAACTTGTAACCAAGGTTCACTTTCAAATTGAATTTTCAGATCGAATTTAATATATGAGTGAAGGTTGGCCAAACGTTGATATTATAATCCTTTCTGGGTTTGCTGAATGATTAGACTGTAATCCTTTCTAATGTGAAATGTAACATCTCTATAAACAGTGGAGCCTCGATAATCCAAATGCCAGTAATCCGGACACTTCAATTTCCAGACGATGTTTGTTTGCAACAGTTTATTTCTATACTAGTGTATACCAATCTCTGTTAATTCTAATTTGCTCGGGAAGTGTCGTAGGCGACGGTTATTGTAAGCAAGATTGATTTTCATTTATCTAATTACATTTAATATTTAAAAAGTGAAGCTAGTACATGAAGTCTGATATGCTCTGCAAAAAATATGTCCAGTAATTGACATAGAAGTAAAGAATGCGTAAAAGACACTGGAATATAATCCGGGCTTTGTTCTTTCGACTTTTTTGTTTACATATCTACATGCTTCTATCGGAACGCTTCAGCAGGGTTTAGCCGAATAGAAATAAGAAAATAATATCTTTTTTAATTAATTCACTATATTTTTTATTTCTGAAAGGTTCTGTGATTATTCAAAATAAGATAAACAGTGTAACTAATTATGTAGACTATTATTATACCAGTAACAGATAATTTGATTGAGTTTACAATTGGTAAAGATTAACTTGTTTCCAGAACCTTTAATATAATAGACATTCCATAAGCCGTACTGCAATTCTCCGTTAAATTGATCTCAAAATTTATTCATTGCCATCTCTTGCTGTCTTTTTCTTTGATAGGATGCTGTTTTAATTCAATGCTATTGAGTTCATGTTTTTCTGAGTTGTATTTTATCCCGTCTATTTTTCCCATTGAAGCCGGAGTTTCTTTGTATTTTTAGTAGAGCCTGGTGCTCATTTTTCTCTTGTACTGGCTAGCTGATTGTAATTCCTTAGTGCATCTTACATTTGGTTTGTCTAGTATTTAATGAAGTACATACAATTAATTACCCAGTGTAAGACATTCTTATCTTTTTATCTCTCTGTTCGGGGATTTGATTGGTAGTCAATATACCGATTGTTGCCTCTCGCGCGCACCACGTGCTCATTGGTGCTTTGGAGATGAGTTTTGATGTAGATGAGTTACGGTAAAATTGTTAAGGAACCTGCTCAAAGATTTGTTTACCTGTATGATAAGGAACTCCAATTAAAAACACTCAGATATGTTCTCGCCTGCTGGTCGATAAATCTGCTAGGATGCCGAGATCTCCTCATTTTTCATACCTTTCAAAAAACTGTGCTTGATTTTTATAAACATGGACATATGGAGCTGAAGGATCGGATGCATCATAAGACAAAATGACACGAATAAAGCCGAGAGCAACCGAATACCTATAAAAGTTAAAACTAACATTTAAGTAACTCTGATGGGAATAATATTTGTGAGTGTTAAGGATGCCTTTTCTGGCCTTACTGTGTCTGTCCTTTCTTCCTTTGATGTCCTACTGTGTTATACCAGACGAACAACGCTTACTAGAGTCTTTATTGTCGGACTATAACCCTGCTGCTCGTCCTGTCTTTAATGCTTCACACATTCTTCTTGTTAAATTTGGAATAACTCTGGCGCAGATATCAGATATGGTAAGATTTTTTATTTTTTAAAATCAAATTTAATTTTTTGCAGCTGCACTTGTGAAAAAAATACCTGATGAACAGAGACTGTTGAAAAATATCTTAAAAGAATATGACACCGCCGCCCGACCAGTATTTAATGCTAGTCACGTGATAACTGTCAAGTTTGGACTTACCCTGATACAGCTCGCAGATATGGTATGTATACTGATATCTACTGATGTATAGTTGTTGCTTCAGGTATCTAAGATATTTTCAGATACCCCCGGCCCGGAAAGTTGGACGTACATTTGAATTTTGGGACACGTTCTGTTTTAATCTTCTTCACCTTGAACAAAGTCTTTTATGTTTATTTAGCGTTATTTTCAGCTTTTCATCCTCCTGCTAAATTAATAGGTACCAAAAAACATCACTTCTCCCTTTATTCGTTTTTTTTCCCATGGTTTATTTGGAATTACAATTTGTTGACTATTGAAGAAAAACAAATTAAAATTGAAGAAAATAAGTATATTTTGGTTTTATATGTTGTTATTCAGGTAAACTGCAATTTAAAGATTATTTTTAAGGATATAATAAATATCTGCTTGGAAAAAATGCAGTCTAAAACTATTTGTACGTATACGTGGCAAGCTTAAAATGCAAAAATTGAGTTCGTACGTTCTACGCTGAAGTTGTTTGCTTCATTAAATGTAGTTTACGTGGGTTCCCGTCGTCTGGATTTTGCGGTAATTAGACTCTCCGCTAGTGTCACTTCATGCGGTAAGTAGCGAAGGGACACAGGGGGTCCGTCTGGGATTAATTCTAGTTATTTCATATTAACCCTTTGTGTGCTGACTTGTTTTACGTGCTCTGTAACCTCAGGACTGAGTTGTTTTGTAATATCAACAAAATTATCACAATGGTGTACTAAAATGCAAATATCTAAAATTGTTGACAACCAATTTGCTTGAAATTTGGCAAATATATAGCAAATGTTATGTTTTTTAATCTATACTATTTTTTTTTAAAATCTAATATTTTATGTTGCCATGGAAACCAAATTTTCAAAAAATTTATTTTAAAATGACTTTTTAGCATTTTAACTATATTTTTCAGAGAAAATATTGCACTTTGATGAAAAAAAATAAATCAATCGCTTTAAAAATTCAATTTTAGTTTAATATTATGCAAAAAAAATTAATTTAAACAATAACTCAATGATAAAGTCAATGTTATATATACCGTTATATTGTGAAAAGTCATTGTATACTTATCTGAGTAAGGGATATATTCATGTAGGTTTAAGTGAATTCTGATTCAAGATAATGGATTTTTTTCAGATTTTAACTGAAAAGAGTATAAATTGAAGATTCAATTAGCCTGTAAATATAAAACCAGTGATTATTTTAAGAAATATAGGCAATCATATAAGAAAGTATGATCCTCAAAGAATATGCAGTTTTCAAGGTTGGGAAATCTTGGAGCAAATTGGCACAACAATGAACTAATTGCTGTTACTAGTATTCATTTTCAAATTAAAGCAGTCAATATGTTAAATAAATTAAAAAAAAAATAAAATAACATTTACACTAAGATATAGAGGTCTTATTTTCTAATGACTGGTATCTAACAGCCCTAAATATACTCTTACTAGTAATTCTCAAATCTTTTTTTTTTTTATTTAAAATTTGCTTTTATTGAAGAAAATGCATTTCTCCGTGTTATTTGTAAAGTTTACATATTCATCAACTTTCCTCCCACAGTACTTCTCACTCTGTAAGAAATATGTGGCATTTATTTTAGAAGTTTTATTCCTGGCTGGCAACAATAATTGCCAGCAGGAAAACTAGTACTTTAAATTTTAGAAATTTAAGCACCTTTAACAGTCATTTATAATGTTTTCAAAAATGACTTCGTTCAATGTGGTCACTGGTGAATAACAGTTTTGATTTTTTTTCAATTGATTTTAGTTAATGATGGTTGACAGATATGTACCATAATATCAATCAATATATTATGAAATACTTTTAAGTTTATGCAAGTCTAATGGTATGGGTCATGGATATAGGCCAAGTAAGCTCAGTCAGTAGAGCATCTGACCGGTGATGCAGGGGCCCCTTCTTCGATTCACGGGCCAGCCGTGCATTTTCTCCTTCCTTGTTACATATTTGATGCTATTGACCCCTCTGGATTTGCAAGTGAAAGTCCTGTCAGGGGCTAATAAGAATTTGGGTTGTGTCTGCAAGGATAAAGATAACTTTAAGGAGGGATATGTAATGGTTGTGCTATGGGTATCAACCTGGGTAGCTCATTCGGTAGAGCACGGTACTGACTAGTGAAGCAGGGTTCCTGAGTTTAATTCCTGGTCCAACCATAGTTACCATACATTTTCTTCTTTCCTATTACACAAGTTTTAAATGTGCCTGAATTTTTACTTCAACAAAAAATATTATTCCTAATACTGTATACAGGGAAATTTTCGCCCCTGTTTTATTTTTTTCCCCTTTCACCTCTCCTTGATTGGGCAAAATTCAAATTACACCTCATAATTTCCTAAACAGAACTATGACTGGGTGAATTTAAAACAGGGCAAAATTGTTCACAAGTTCAAAAGGGCGAAAATAACACGGGGCAAAAATAACCCTGTATATAGTAATGAAATTTATATTTTATTTCCACTATGGGATTTCTTTGTATTCTTAGTAACTATTCATATTATAAACATATCTTTGGAGACCAAAATGTAATCTTTGTTGATACGTAATTGCACAGGAATTTGCATTTTTGAAAAAAAAAATTTCACCATCATTGATAAAAAAATTCTCACAGCAAATCATAGCCTTTTTTCTGTATTCATTTACTGTTACATATCTAGAAGGGACGGAATGTAGAAGCTTCTTGGGCCTTATGAATTTGTAAACTAGAGGACATATTACATATTAGTAGGTGAAAACTTGTACAGTGTGTACTTTTGAGTTTGAGAAGTACAATTCCTACAGTAAAACTCAGTTATAACGAAGTCACTGGGACCTATGAAATTACTTCACAATATCTGTAATTCGTTATAACTGTATAAGAAATCAATTAAATTTATTTAGCTGGGTATCCAAATTGACTTTGCTATATCTGTAAATTCGCAACATTCGTGTTCGTACTAAACGAGTTTTGCTGTATTACCCAGTCTTTATTGTAATTTGTGACATGACCCGGCGAGTTTTCTTTTGAAGTCAACCGTACTGTAACTGCGATACAGAACACTTTTTGTGGGCGTTTCTTATGCAAATGAGCAGAAACTGTACTGTATCTGCAAAATATCAAAGATACAGTACGGTTTATTTTTAGCGATGACGGAAAGCTGTATTCATATTCAGACACAACAATAGTTCAATTCGCATGATAGCACTGTTAGTAATTACTCAAAATTTGAGGTGATTTTATTAAAAATAAAATTTTACAAAATAAACTTATATGAGTGTCGGATTCAAAAAATTTAGAAAGGAGGGAGTGGGGCAGATCAAAAAGGACTATCTTGACCCCCCTAAAAAACCCCTGAAAATCGTATTGGGGGGGGGGGTAGGTTTATAATCAACCAAGACACTATGTGCGTGAAATCGTTACTTGTTGATAAACTAAAAAGAGTATGTATATACGATTAGCAAAAATAATTTACAAAAGCGAAAAAAGAAAAAAAAAACTTTAAGTTGGGTGGGATTGGGGGGGGGGGGGCAAGTGTGAGTACTGTACCCCCCCCCTTTGGTTACTCTACATTTTATTAAAAACTTGAAGTAAAATACCCCCCCCTTCTTTCATCTGTTTATTTCAATTTTGTATATGATTACAGGTTAGAGGATATTGTCGGAGATTTCTCTCAGTATACGATATCCCCGAAGCATTTTTGTTTCAAAATATGATTCTTATATGTGACGCGCCAAGCAAAAACCCCCCTTAACGAAGAATTTTGACATTTTCAGTTTTTCATTGATTCTTGTAGAGTTTTTCTTTCTCTTTCATTTGATGTATAACATGACATATATTTCTGTGTATAAATGTATAAAATATCACAGGACAAAGAGGGAATATTTATATGACGTGCAGTGTACGCGTGTGTAACTGCATGAATTTTCATAACGTAAAATCGTAAATGACGTAAAGATATATAATAATTTGATGATATTTACATTATCAAACTTTTGATTTGATTCCCTTAAAAGTATCAACAATTAAGATTTTTCATCGTGATAATAGCAAATAAACATTCTAAAGTATATCTTTGAGTAATTGAGAAACGAAAGACGATTGGGGGGGGGGGGTCGAAATGATCGTTAAGGGAAAAAAAACAAAACTCAAGACAACATCAAAAATCTTCTCTTCCTCTGGGAAAGTTTCCAATTTACGGCTTTTCAATCGGTAAAATGGCAGAAATCTACATCATTGCAATATTAAAAGAAAGCAACATTTGGATAAAAAAAAAATGCTATTGTGGTAGTACAAACGACACACGTACGACTTCCTACTAGCTTGGGCTAGTGGGTTAACCCTTAAGCTAATTCGGTAAAGCACAGAGGCCTCGGGTTCAATCCCAATTAACCAGATGCACTTAATTGTCACTGTTATTCTATCAAAGTATTTATTTTTTAAAAAGTTCGAGACAGCCATTACCCCCCCCCCCCACCGAACCCCCGGGCATTAAAAGTCTATACAATACACAGAATAGATAGAAAGTGTTGTCATAGTTCATGTTTTAAATACCTGAAATTTTAAAGAGTTTGACAGGTATTTTTTCTATCTAAAGGAAAATTAACATAAAATTTTCTTGTCCCACAAGTTAACTTTTTACATGTTTTAGTTTCGAATGTTTTAATACTGAAGACTTTTTGGCTTGTTGAAAAGATATTCTGCACCCAAGAATAAATTGTATTTGTTTCTTGTAGTAGAAATTGGTCCTTTTTTCTTCGGGGTCGTTATGAAATGAGTCATGAGTTTCACAAGAAGAACTTTAAAGTTGTCAAACTTGTTTCCGATCCGTTTGC